AATAATTGTTATAATATAGTTATTATAAAAATATATAATACTTAACACAAATTATCATTTATTTTTAAGGTTTTATTTTTGGATATATTGTATATATTATATGAACTAATACTCTGCTACTCAATCATTTTATATTATACAGTCGTTGACATTTCATTCATGAACAAATAAACAACTTTATTTTATAGAATTCGTTAATTTTATTAAAAATTAAAAATATCTAAATTATAATAAAAATTTACAAGCATAACTGTAAATAAACATATAATAAGAATTATTTTTCTAAATAAAAAAAAACTAGTCACTTATCACATACAAATCATATAAGGAAAATGTTAAAATACCTAACCAAATAAAATCGAACAAGAGATAACTACGAATAGATCTGACTGAATCGACAAATGAATCACAAAAAGGAATAAAACTATTGAAAGACCACCGACATACCGCAAATCAGAATCAAGCGATGTGAAAATACTATCCACGAATGCAAATTGCACATCCAAATTCAATCCGAGAGTTTAAAGTAGAGAAGATCACCATGATAACAAATAAACACCATCTTGATCAGTCGTGGCGATGTCAAATCCAACCTTAAAAAAATAAACGAAAACAACGACCAAACAACAAAAAATATGCCATAGAGACGGAGAAAACATGTCAAAAAGCTGAAAATACGTACTAAAAAGACAAAGTTATTGAGAATAAAAAACAAGAAAAAACAATGATAGACTATAATAAAGCAAAGGAAAAATAATAAATACCGACGGTCGGCAACCAATACCAAGATTAATATCATCGTCGATTATAAAGTAAAAAAAAGAGACTAACGGCGAATATAGAAAAAAATAACAAATCCTACTTAATGAGTTCATAATACAAATAAACAACTTTAAATGTTTTAAAAGCAAAGATATCACATCTTTTAATAAATAATATTAATCAAATAAAGACATTTGAAAATACTACATCAATAATTGAATATGAGTGAAAATATTACGTTATTAATATAGATTGATCATTAATTATTCAATACTTTTAATCTAACATTATCTTTCTGATAAAAAATTTAAAAGGTTACAATTTAAAATACTCATAAAAAGATAGATAATAAAATGACCATTTGTATAAACGTTTAGAAATATTTTTATTTTTATTCCTTTTTTATATAACTACTGTCGACACCGTTTTTCGCCCGGACGGGAAAAACTCAGTACGACTTAGGGGTTTTCTTTGAAAATGTTTTGGAGTCGCCATCGACCTTTTGAGTTAGGTAGGTCGAATACCTAAAAAATTTCTTTTGAAATAGTTTTTAAGAAAACATCATTTTAAAGATAAATCAGTCTACGTGTAATCAAAGATTCATTTAACAAAGGGTTTGGTGATCGATTGCGTGTGGGAAAGGATAAGCACTCTACAACGCCCAAAATTGGTACCCCATCGATTATAAATTGTCTCTAATAGTGAAAATCTAAGGATTCAAACATAAATTTAAATTACGATCCCATTATTCTAAACTCAACCATGCAATTTTTATTTAACGAAAAATTCTAAGAAGAAATAAAAAATATTCCAATATTTCCAATCGAAGAGAAAATAATCCCTAAAATACTTTAGGACGAATGTTTCTTTTTCCAACTGAAATAAAAGGAATATAATAATTTTTCCTAAGAATTCAAGTTTAAATTATTTTATTCGACCTAAAAAAGAAATTCATCCAAATTATATATGATTAGAAAAGATAAGGGATATTCAATTATTTAAAAATATCAAGACTTAATCCCTAATAAAATTAGGCGAATTGTTTTGATAAGTTTAAATAAGTTTTAAATGCAATCAATTTTTTTAGGTTTTTCTAATGTGATATTTATTTATTTTAAAACATCAGAAAATAACATCTAGTTACTTTAAGACAGTTTTTTCTTAATATTTTAAAATAAATACTACCATTAATCCAATTATGTAATCGATTGAGTTATGCTTATGAGACTTTTAAACGAAAATAAAATGTCATGATTAAATACAAATGCCTAAATAAAATATATTTAAATTAAAATGGTAAATTAAAGCATTTAAAGAAAAATTATAAATATACATATGGACTAAAAACAATTTAAGGTGCTTTAACTTTATTTTATTTAATAAAATCTATACATATATTTAGCATAAAACATAATATTTATTATAAAATATACTAAAATGTAAAACATAATATTTACACAAGGCACTACATGCAATATTTATATATATATATAATAAAGTAATATATAATAATATAAGTGAAATAAATATCTAGTACATAATAATGTAAGTGAAATAAATATCTAATACATAAAACATGCTTAATGGTACAATATAAAACAATAACATATGGATTCATTCATAACATGGTGACAAAATAAATGTAAAGTAAATTTAAGATTATAAACATTAATAAAACAAATATCATGGTATGAAACAACAAAATCGTATAATTGGAGCACCAAAATCGTAATAAAACCATAAATATATAGGACTAAAATGAAAGAACATAAATATCAGTAGCTAATCTAAAAAAATACATCCAACAGAGGACTAAATTAAAATAATACAAACCCATGCATCCAATTCGCAAATCATATAAAATAAAAAGAAAGGTGACCAAAGCACAAAACACGCTAAATTTGAAAGGACCTAAGACGAATTTGACCCTAAAACTAGTGACTAAAAAGCGAAACACACTAAACAGAGAGGATCAGTATGTGATTTAACCTTAAATTAGTGAACAAAATACATGAGATTTCTAAAATTACATGACCTATTCATAATAAACCCACTATTTAGGGACCTAAATGTAAAAACATGCTAAAAGTCTGGGGACCTTAGCGTGATTTACCCAAAAACTAAAATAAACAAACTCTTCCCTCCCCAATCTCTATTCTGTTCGATATTTTATAATCCCTAGCTAACCATATCCCTTTCTTCTTCACTCAACCCACAGTGGTCGATCCAACAAAATCGAAGCCTTCACCGCCTCGGCCACCCATGGGATCCCAAGGCGTGGAGAACACCACGAAACACCAATATCACCACCTACAAAGCTTCCCTCATAGGGCTAGAACTAAACACCAGACATCCTACGTGGTGGCCCTTCGACCTCAACTCACCCCGACTGCATTATCCTTTCCCAGTGACCTTGCTACTCCGACGAACCCATCGGTAGAACGCTAAGCTTCTAACCCCTATCTCTATGTGTGTGTGTGTGTGTATGTATGTATGTATATATATATATATATATTCTTGAAATAGCATAGAACTAAAGAAAAAATAAATAGATTATGATACCTTCAAATTAGACTTTGATTTTGATTGCTGAAAAAATGTTTATTGCTAAGAATTTTTGTTTTTTCGTTCTTATTGATAAAATCCTCCTTTACATTGTTTTTCATTCTCGGGTTATATGTTGAGTTAATCGATTGACGAAATCGGCCAAGAGGGGGTGAATTGGCAATTAAAAATTTGGTGGAAGCTTTTGCAGAAAATTAAAAGTAATTGCACAGCGATTTAGAGTAGTTTGACTTTCTCAACCAAAGTCTACGTCCACTACCTTAGCTATCCACACTAAGGATTTTCCACAAATTCACTAATTTGTCTTTCTTTTGAGGACAAAGAGTAACCTTACAAACCCTCAAGAATTATACCCCAAATTCTTGAGAACACTCTCTCCAAAAGAGAACAATACAAATTTGCAAACTTACAAGGAAATCCTCACAAGGTAGATTGTTTGCACAATTCTAGAACAAAGAAAAGAATACTCAAGAATGAATATAATTGAGTACAAGTAGTGTTCTTGAAAGCAAAATAAATATTGAATGAAAAATAGGCTTGAAATGCTCAAACTTGAGGTTTGATGCTTTCTCTTTGATTCTCTCTTGATTCTAGTTGCTTGTTGTTTCTTGTTATTGATCAATGGCTTCTAAGCTTGTTTAAATACACCTTGAATCACTTCTGAATGTTGGGGATGATTAGTGGAGTCAATAGAGCCGTTTAAGTGTGAAAACAATTAATTAAAGCAGTTGGGAGTGTCAGTGCATCGTGTAAAATTCAAATATTTTGACCGTTAGACCCTTAGTGCATCGGTGCACTAAGAGTGTATCGATGCATCAAGTGCATTCGATGTTTCAAAATAGCCAGAGTGCATCGATGCATGGCTGGTGCATCGATGCATCAAATGCATTCGATGTTTTCATAAATCCTCAGTGCATCAGTGCATGGTAAGTGCATCGATGCATGAAATACATTCGATGTTCAATTTAATTCATGGTGCATCGATGCATGGATTGGTGGATCAGTGAATCACTCTAAAAAATTGATTTTAGGCTTGATTTTGGTTCAAAATACTTTGTGAAAATTGTTTCAAAAATATATTAAGTATAAAACACAATTTTACACATTTAGTAAGGTTTGAGATTAATCTTAAAAGACTTGGAGTAATAATTTGATATTCGATTAATTGAATCGAATATACTTAGAAAATCATTTGTAAAATCTTAAAATTCATTTAAACTAATTTGTTATATCGAAACACAAAAATATTTTCAACATTATATACCCTTACAACATAGAAACAATATCTCTCCTGATTTCCTATGATGGGTTTGGTAGTATGGTAAGCACGATATGGTGGAGGCATGAGCGTGGAGCTGGCAAGGCAAGGGTGTTGCAAGGTATGGGCGATTGGTGAAGGGTATGACAATGAGATGGAGAAATCCATTCGGGTCCAAACCAAGTCGGATCCGGGTCACCCCAGTGAGCTAAAAAATGGTGCTTACAACTTCTTCTCTTTGCTCATTGTTATGAAACGAAAATGAAACAAAGATAAAAAAGCATAATTTTTCATCTTGGTCTCTTCTTGTCACGTTACGAACTCTTTACTGGGAATGTCAATTCTTCTCTTTCTATGAAATTCGTCGAGTCCTTGCTGCAAATGATGTCATCTTTGTTTCGTTCTCTTGGTTGAGTCTTCATCTTCAGTTCTTCTGGTTATGGGTTCTTCTTATCTTGATCTTTCCAATGTAAATGTTGATCCCTCAAGTGATGTGTTGCAGATTCGAAGTGTTGTGAAAAAGATTGAATAAGCTTTTCATTATGAATTCTCTACCGGTAATGTTGGTCCCTCAAGTGAGGTTTTACTGATTCAACTCCATATGTGATTAATTGAGTACCGAAAATGTTGAAAACACCCTACTCAAAGGTCTTATGGATGGCCCGAAGGACTTATCATCTTGCTAGAAAACTTATAGATGGCCTAAAAGACTTATTTATCATACTCGAAAGACTTACTGATGGCCTAAAGGACTTCAGCTTATTCGAAGTATTGTGAATCGAGCAATATGAAATGTTAACTCCTCTGGTGAGGCGTTGCTGATTCGAAGTCTTGTGAATCGAGCAAATGAAATGTTGAAAATATCCTGCCCGAAGGTCTTATGGGTGGCCCGAAGAACTTAAGCTGATTCGAAGTGTGTGAATCGAGCAATATGAAATGTTAATCCCTATAGTGGGGTGTTGTTGATTTAAAGTGTTGTAAATCGAGCAAAGGAAATGTTGAAAACATCCTATCCGAAGGTCTTATAGATGGCTCGAAGGACTTATCATCTTGCTCGAAAGACTTATAGATAACCCGAAGGATTTAAGCATCACTCTCGAAAGACTTACTGATGGCCCAAATGACTTACTCATCAAGAAACCCTTGAAAATCAAGCTTAGTTTCTTAATTGTCAAGAAACCCCTAAAAATTAGGCTTAGCTCCATTCAAATTCATTTGAAGACATTGAGAAACTCCTGAAAATTAGACTTAGTTTCTTTCAAATTCATTTGAAAACATCGAGAAACCCCTAAAAATCAGGCTTAGCTTCTTTCAAATTCATTTGAAAACATTGAGAAACCCCTAAAAATCATGCTTAGCTTCTTTCAAATTCATTTGAAAACATCGAGAAACCCCTAAAAATTAGGCTTCATTTCTTTCAAATTCATTTGAAAACATCAAGAAACCCCTAAAAATCAAGCTTAGTTTTTTTTAAAATTTATTTTAAAACATCAAGAAACCCCTAAAAATTAGGCTTAATTTCTTTCAAATTCATTTGAAAATATCAAGAACCCCCTAAAAGTTAGGTTTAATTTCTTTGAAAGTTATTTTAAAAATCAACAAGAAAGTTATGAAAATCAGACTTAGTTTCTTTAAAATCTAATTTGAAAATCGTCAAGAAACTTCTGAAAATCAGACTTAGTTTCTGTGAAAGCTCATTTAAAAATAATCAAGAAACTTCCGAAAATCAGACTTAGTTTCTTTAAAAACTAATTAAAAATACCATGTCAAGAAACCTATGAAAATCAGACGTAGTTCCTAAAAAACACATTAGCTAGGTAACATGCCCCACTTCAAAAATTATTATTGTTATGTGTATTGAGATCCTCAATTCTTGAAGTTCTTCTACTATTAATGTAATTCCCTCTATTTGAGGTTTGAATTATGATTTTTCTTTTCTTTATTTTATTTCCTTGGAAAATCTGTAAGAATTATGTATTTATGTATGAATGCACTTAAATGAATCTAAATGTAATGCATGAATTTCTTGTATGCAGAAATATTAATTATACTTCTTCTCACTCCAAAGTGGAGATCTCAGTCTTCCCTCACTTTGATCATCTTGAATGAATTCTGCCTCAATGGTAACTTGTCAGCTTAAGCTTGTATCTTCCGAAGAGTAATTTGATTATCTTGTTCAATCATGTATTTTTATATTCATCCTTGGTTTTTTGTTACAGTCTTAGAATAAATGCTCTCTTGTAGTCAGGCATACAGTCTTGATGCCTCTTCTGGCTCTAATTCAATGGTTTATCAGGAACGTTTTGAAGTAAGCTCTCATTGTCCTCATATTCTACCCTTGGCACTCCCAAACGGAGAAGCTCATTCACCATGTCTATTTGATTTGAATCTTGTTATCTCAGCGAGATCTGGTTTTAGTAATGCCCCAATGTGGGTACTCGTGGCTCTCTTCGTGCCAAAATCTTAATCTCTAATGGCCTCACTCTTGTATCGCTAATCAACAATGTTAATGAATAGCTTGAAGGTTAACTTTATAATGCCACAACCATGTGGATACTTAAGAAGTGATCAATTCCTCTAACATGGTTGTCTTTCATCTTTGCAATGAGTTGGGATATGTGCCACATTCAACTAAGGCGATCATCTATTTTAACAATGTTAGAAGTTCTGTCTTACGGTCCTTCTGATCTTTCGAATTATATGAAATGTCTTCATTACTCTGGCATCGTTTGTTCTTTTCTCTGATTGAGGCAGAATGAGCCTTACCAGCTTCAATGACCTTTTTCACTTGAGATTGTCCTGTTTGAAAATATTCTCTTCTTGTTTTATATTTTAGAAATGTGAAAAATGCTGAATAAAATTAAAAAATGTTGTCATTTTCTTCCAGCTCACAATCAAAACAAATTGTAAAACAAGAGTTCACTGAATATCAAATAAGTCAAATTTTCTTTTAATCCTTCAAAAATTAAATACATTTGAAAAGTGTAAAGATTAATGCTGATAAAAGGCTTAGGATGACTTGGGTAGGTAACGTGTTTTAGGTTAATTTGGGGTGGTAATGTGTTTCAGGTTGGCTTCTTGCTTCCTTGATTCGGTGTTCATTGATCTGATGAAACAACCATCATGCTTCTCTTATAGAAATATTCACTGGTTCTCAGCCCTCGTGAGCACATTTTGACTGTGCAATGCTTTATCAAGAGATATATAAGATCGTCTTCTGTGCAATAGTTAACAATCTTCGTGTTTGAGCTGCCTTTTCAGGTTTTCAACTCGAATTCTCCTTTGGTTTCAAGACGTCAACTAAAATTTTACGTCTTGCTCCTTTTATTATTTTTCCTTATCATGCATTAAAAAAATTAGAAAACTAATTTTGTAAATAAAATTAACCCTGAGGGGCGGAATGAAATCTGGAGATAGTCTCTCCACTTAGAAATCCATGTATGATTATAAGGGACTTTTCAAGCACGTAACATAGGCTAGGGATCATGGTTATGAAAGAAATGGATAAATTGGCCCAAATAAGTGTTTAAGGGTTAACGAACCAAGGATCAATTCTTCCTGCCGTCTTCAATCTTGCTATGCCTAATTTGGTCCATCTTATGGTATCTCTTTATTTTTCACATGAGTTACCTCTACAACAAAATCTGGATTAATGGTTTTCATCTTTGCAAGCAGATTTCCTTCATCTTTCCCCTCGGTGTGAAGGGTGATCATTGGTTAGGGTTGAATCAAAAGAAAAATATTGTAGGCTCAAGTGGGGACAACAAAGGATATATTTTGTGAAGTGATAAATGAAACAAAGACGTTCATCATCTCATACATGGAAGTCTTTGTAAAAGAGGTATCCCCATGGGGAAGAGTATTCAAGATTAATCTTATTTACATGAAAAAATATAATTAATGCATGATAAAATTATTTCAATGATTCTCTTTATTTCTTCTTCTTCTATTCACTCCTAGTATGCCCCAATTATTCGAATTCTCTTGCGAAACTTGATCTGCAACACTCCATCTTGTCTTTCTTGCAGGAAAGATCCTCGTCGTTCCCCCAAGATTTATTGAGGTTGGGAAATGAAAGTTGGTTCTCTGTATAGGAAGGGAAATGTATGACTTTAAAGTCATTATTCTGAAAAAGGTAATGTTATGGAAAGGTTATTTTTGTCTGGGAAGGTAAAAAATACAAATTTTGGTGCCTCGGGGAATATGGGCATGACTTTATTGTTTCGAAGGGAAGTGATATCAAAGTTTGGTCTTTAAGGAGTAAATATGTGTTATTTCGGGTAAGGAACCCATCAATGGTTATTTCATCTTTGGATGGGGTATGGAAGGTTTAATCTTGCCACTTGTCGAAGATCCATAATTAATGAAATTGTCATCTCTCTTTTGCGACTGTGGGGGCTTTGGATGTGACATTCATTCACCTCACTATCTTTTGATTTTTGAATGGCTGATCTTTCAGAGGTAGTCTTCAAATTCCCTTTTGTGATTACATATTATACTTGTTCCCCACTTGACACAAGATCTTCAAAATCATTCATTGAATCTGTGAGTAATAATTTAAAGAAAAGGTTCGGAAGAGTGTTATGAAACATACGTGACATTTCCTTTTTTAGCATCAGAGACTGAACTTGAGCTGACATGAATCTCAAAGCGTATTCTCTAAAGCTTTCCGTAGCTTTCATCTTCAATTTCTGGAGATTTTAACGATTTGGAACCAAGTCTTTGACATATTCGTATTGCTCTAGCATTGGCCAAATCGATCAATGACTTAATTTTCTCTTTGCTCAAACGATTATACCATGCCATAACTGGTCCAGTAAGACTGTCGTGGAAGCAATGAATCAATAAATCATCATCATTCAAGTACCTCTCTATCTTTCTGAAGAACATCTTTAAATGGATTAAAGGGCAACTAGTACCATTATACTTTTCAAACTCAGGTACCTTAAACTCGTGGAGAATAACCATAGTGGCGACAAAGCTTAGCTCTCTTATGTCTAAGTTTTCACGGGACGCCTCACCAGCTTTTATTTCTTCAATCGACCCTTCTAATTGCTTAATTTTTCCTTTGAAATTCTCGGTAACCGCGAGATCCCTCCCCTTATCCAAATAAGATGCCCCAAGGTGGTCAACTAAACTTGATGTGCCAATTTGTTGACGTCTTTCGTCGGATACTCTTTCTCGATTGACGACCATTGTATCCAATATTCCAGTCATCTGACCCAACACTTCTTCTTGAGAGACTAATGTTTGATTTCTCATCCTCTGTTGCAGCATGGCCATCTGATCTTATATTTGATCCCGTAACTCTCACTGAGACTGCTCTATTGCTTCTAACCTCTTTTCCATTGAGAGTGGAAGAGAAATGTAGATGGGTGATCTTGGTATTACTATCACATAACCTTCCATAAATTATTTTGATGATTTTTATAAGGAATGCATAAAACATTTAAATAAATAAATGCAATGCATGCATGCAAAAAAGTGTCAATCCAGAGTAACCATCTTAAATGATTTTCATTGAACACAAATGGTTTCAGTACATCAAATAACCAAACTACAAATAATAAATAGCTTTGGCTCCTAGCTTTTCTATCTCGTTCATGAGCCATGTTATCTTCCAAGCATGATCTAGTGATGAGCCATCAATCTGCTTTAAATCTCTTGCAAAAACAGGTAATTCGACCAACTTATGAGCCACGTTGCTTGCTAGAGTAACCACCTCATTCATAGCATTGTCTTTTTTCTCCACCTTACATTTCAACCTTTGAAGTTGCATGCAATATTGACCATTCTCTTTTGTAAGAGACTCGATACGATCATGAAGTTCTCATGCAAGATTTCTATAATCATGTACCAACTCTGTCATTGTTTTATTGCCGGCTCTACTTATTTTTAGTTTAATATTTTTCTTACGATTGTGGTTTTGAAACAAGGCTTCTGCTTCGGTAAGGGATGTTCTCAATATTTCATTCTTTGTTTGCCATATCTTCAAGTATTGTAAGGTTGTTTTATGTTAATTTTCTATAATCTGTATATTAAGAGAGCACCTCTTAGCTCATTCTTCGTGCATTTTACAATTTCTTTTCCATTGTTCGACGACACTCTTCAATTTAGAGGCTTCTTTTGCCCATCCTTCTGGAGTATTGCCTATCCCAACACTTTTAAAGACTTGATTGATTTTTTGAAAATAATCTTGCATGACTTCCAATTCTCTGTTCAGAATGTCTTTTTCGTTTTGCAATTGAAGTATTTGGGCTTCGTATTTCAACAGACGCTATTCGTTTTGAATACCCTTACTGATGCTTTTTTCCTTGGACTTGCTTGGCTTCGCCTCGACCAGACGTTCGACTATTGAACCCGATTTACCCTCGTTCTCAAATTCTAATACTCCAAGCTCTAGTAGGCAATAAATTCGACGCTTGAAGGCAACAAAGGTCTCGATATAATGTCCTTGAGCTCCTGCTTGATATTCACAGTGGGCATTGGCATCATACTACTCCAGATATGGAGGTTACAAAGGCTTCATATATTGACGGGTCACTTCTCATTCTTCTAACAACTTATTGTATAAATCTCCATATGAGATAAGAGTAATATCAAAGTCAAGGTCACTACCTCATATCTTTCAGTCATCAATGATGTAAGTCTCTTTTTAAAGAACATTAGTTTTTGAAGCTAGCTTCAAACGCTGAACCATTGTAGTTGGATTCCTGTTATCCTTTACATTCATATTCACAAGTACTTTGGTGGCGTTTGGATTTTTAGTGAATATGAATTGACCCCATTTGAAATGATCACGTGGCTTCTCTTCATTCATCTTTACTCGTAATTTTACCATTGTCACTGTTTCTTTTGTACTTCCTGACAACTTGTCAATATGGATAATGATTGTGCGTTGCTCCTCAAGTTCGCTTGGATTACCTTGTTCAAAAGTAGCCTCTTGTATTATAGAATTATTCTTGTCAAGTTCTTTCTCCCTTTGCGTAGAAGTCTCTTTTCCTTTGGCCATCACAACTGTTCTATCCATCATCTTGGACATTTGCTCTCTGATTTGTTGCAATTCACTTTGCTCTTCGTTAGACATGCGATTTTTTGACGTATGGCTCTCTACTTTTCTTGGAACTTCTTTCATATGCCATTTCCTAGTTGTATCGTGGACTAACTGATCATGAAACCCCTTGTTCATGGCAGAGAAAAATAAGTTAGGACATATAGAAATAGGTTAGGTGTAAATGTAAATGCAAATGCAAAAATGCAAATGCAATGAATGTATTGATTCCAAAGTAATCGTCATAAAAAAATTCCAAAGAACACACAATGTCTTAATACACCAAGAGAGATGGAAACTACAAACCACATCACACTACTCGACTTCTTCAATTTTGATTGAATGTGCAAGGAAACATTATTCTTCTATTTCCTGACTTGATGGACAATTCCAAAACTTCGACTTCTTTTCCAGAAATGCATTTGTTGAGTGACCATATGCGACTGACATCATCCACTGTCTCGTGTTGGCTATCATTGTTGCATGATGACTTCAAACAGATTATTTCTTTTCGGCTAGTTGTATTAACATCGTCGTATCACCCTTGAAAAGCTTGTTTTACTGCATCCTTTGAGCTTCATGTATTCCAGCTTGATGTACATTTTCAGTTGTTTCTTGGAGCGCCCTTCTGGATCATTGATGCATTTTTGCATTTTTATTCTACCTCTTCGAGTGACATTATCCTATTGAAAGCCTTCTAATGCGACTATTAACTCAAGAATCAATACCTTTTATGACATGATATGATATGTATGGAACATTTGTTAATTTTAAGGTAATTATCTTAGAACAACTTTCAAAGAACTCACAACATCCCAACATGTCAAAGATGATAAAATATATTTACCTCTTCGTATGGCATTGTCATTTTAAAAGCCTTCTAATTTTGATAAATAACTTGAGTATTAAAAACATGTTTATGTACAAAATAAAGCAACAGGACAAGGAAAAGATATTAGCAAAAAATATAATCAAAGAGAGGAAATGTATGTCAGTGAAATATGAAAAGATTAAATTCAACTAGTAAATGAACCATAAAATACAATGAATAAAACACATAGAGGAAATTAAAACCCCAACCGCATAATTTCTAGTTCACATGCATTTATTCAAAAATAATCTATCTGATAAATTAAAAGAAGAAGTTTAGAGTTCATTTCTCCTTTGTGTATACTTATTTGGGTACCTATGGATAGAATTTTAGCATGGTCTTAGATCGGGTGGGTTTCTATAGTTTACTATATGCGGAGTTTTGGTTCTAGGAGTAAAGGTACTCGAATTGTCCTTGTCGGTGCCCCCTTGGGCGAGCCAAACCCTCAATCCTCACCCATTATAGGCTTAAGCGGATCGAGTTTAATTCGAGAGGACACATTTCCCTATGCCTGACATGAAGAATAAATCCTCACGAAGACATATGGCATATGAACCCCAGAAGCTACTTGCTAGGTCTGACAAGGAGAATAAATTCTCACGAAGACATCGCTTTCACTCCCACTTAAAGGTGAAAGGGCTCGAGTATAGAGCTTATGTTATGCAATGCAAGTGTCGTGTGTGAGGAGAAATTCTCAAACTTTTGACAAACAACCATACTAAAATCAAGCTAAAACGAATCCAAAATTTTAATATCTGAAAATCAATCAAATGCAAACATTAATATACAAATAATAATAAAAGAATAAAAGAATTTAAAGAAACAAAAGAATCATGAATTAAATAAAATTGAATTCTCAATTTCCAACTATTGAGACAATATATAATCGATTTAGGGCTTGACCCTCTAATATCCCCAGCGGAGTCGCCAAGTCGTACTAAATTTTTCCCCGCCCGGACGAAAAATGGTGTCGACAGCTACTAATATACAATTTTATAATCAAATTATTTTTATTCGTAATGATTCAATTGAATAAATTTTAATATGCATTTGGTTAAATTTTTTATTTTTATTAAAACTTTTTCAGACCCTTAAACCTAAACATTTATTAACATCTATTGTGTGTTGTAAAAAGGTCTCAACACTTTTTAAATAAGATCTCATGTAGTTATATTTAAAATTTATAAATGGTGAAACCAATGTTATAAAAGTTTATTTCTTAGTTTGATTTAATTTTAGATATAATCGAGATTGAATATTGGTGATGATAATAAGATTGATGTATAAGTTGTTGACAATTTATCTTTTTGATTTTAATAAAATGTTGCTGTTGATGGAAAAACGGCCAAGGTATTTAAAAGGAGAGATTGAATTATCATAAAGAAAAAGGAGTGTAGACTGTTTATAGACTGCTCATTCTTATTCTCATTAGAGTATTTATAGTGACCTTTAATACGTGTGTCAGTCACAATATCATGATAATTATTTATAGGTTGATCGTATTAAAAAAATCAGATGGTTAGATTTTAAATTGTATCATGATAAGTCATGTAAACTTGTAAGAGGTATTGTCTAAATTTTGTCTATGTACCGTAGTTGACTTGGAATCTATATTCAGAGAACGTAATATTTTAGAAATTCCGATAAATAAAAAGACATATAAAAATTAATTATTGATGAAGTGGTGATAAATCTAATAGAACGAAAACTGAGAAATTTTCGAAAAACATCTCTAAGTATAACAAATATGAATACCATATACCAAAAGTTTTAATAAAATTTTATAATCCATCATAAAGTAGCTTCTTCTTGTATAAGGTGACACCCCCTAACCCTTTAAAACTTTATAATCCATCATAAAGTAGCTTCTTCTTTTATAAGGTGACACACCCTAACCCAACCCACCTTTTATCTACGTCTCTCTCTTCCTCTTCCTTCCTTTTCAATATTCCAGTTGTTTGGGTGGTACATTGAAGACAAAGACCAGTGGATTAAGGAGGAAAGTTTTGTTTTAAAAACAGTTATTTGTTGTTAAATCTTTCCATAGATGGAACGTTTTCAGACAATTATCGTCATTACAACACATCTGATGATGATGCTACTGAGTTCACCAGCATCAGCAGCAGCAGACAGTTTCACCGCTTCAAATGCCGCATCCTCAAAGTACCAGATCGAGTGCACCATGTGTTCCTCGTGCGAAAATCCATGTCAGCAAGTCCCGTCGAAGCTGCCGCCATCTCCACCGTCTCCTCCTCCTCCTTCTCCTCCTGCGGTTCCCAACCCCAACTATTGTCCACCGCCACCTTCTCCACCCAGTTCTAGCGGAGGTGGAAACTACTACTATTCTCCCCCTCCGCCATCCCAATCCAGCGGCGGAAACAATTACTACGCTCCACCTCCACCAAGTGGCGGCGGCATCGGCGGCATGTATTTCCCTCCGCCGACGTACAAAAACTACCATACGCCGCCTCCTCCGAATCCTATCGTCCCTTACTTCCCTTTCTACTACCACATTCCGCCGCCGCCGTCGGGATCTCAGAATTTGTCGGCCTATTGGATTTCTAGCTTCATTTCTATTCTGGGTCTTTTCCTTTGTTTCTTTTAGATATTAAAAGCTAGATGGAAAATAACGTGGCAAATTCACAGATCTGGGGAAAATTTTCTGCAGCTGCGAGAAAATGGAAGAAAATATGAGCAAACAAGGCATTTGCAAAGGATGAAGAACATGAAGTAATAATCTTTCTTTCGTCTTCTATTTTCTTTTTCGTGCTGTAGATCAATTATGTAATTTGTTCTTATGATTAACTTTTTGTATGTATTTTTGGTTCAATTAGTGTTAATTGCAAACTAATAAGGACACTAAGTTAATTACACCTTTTCCTCTTCTCCAGTTTACTGATGGTCTAATTATTTCTAGGATTTTTTTAAAATTTAATTAACCTGTTCTTATTTCTTGTCATTTGTTTGATATATGGTTATCAATTGAATTTTAATGATTCAATTAAGTAAATAAAATTTAAAAATTAAAATAGTGGGGTTGAATTAAATAATTAAAGGAGTACAGGGATTAGGAACAAAATAAAACCTTTATCCTCAGCTTTTGCACGATGGCATACGATGAACGGACTACCTTCCTTTCCCATAATTCCATGTGAGAAAAAGTGGGCTGTCCACTCCTTGCTTTACAATCCCTATTTACAAAGTAAACAATATACTCTATTTAGACTAAAAATCTCCCAAACCTCTCAGAGATGAAAGGCAAGCGTCGATGAGTCCTCACTCCTCAGTTCTATTCAGCTTATTGACAACCAGTACTGAATCAGTCTCAAATATCACTAGTCTCCACGACTTATCACAAACAAGATGAAGCTCATCATTCAATGCGTGTATATGCGTTAGACTTAAGTCATAGCACCCAACAGGCGTCATTAAGGACCAAAATAAAAGAAATGAGAATAATCGACTAAAAATATTAAAACATGTACCATTTTTTTCCAAAGTGGGGGACAATGAACCAAATTGTCAATAATATTTTGTGAGAATTCCAAAGGCAATTAATTAGCTGGAGGGCACGCATATGGGGTCCAAACCTTTAGCATAAAGGGTATCCTATGGACATTGACAAATGCCCATAGAATTTGGTTGCCTTGCATAACCACTTTTATGTCCAATCCTCATCTCAACCCTTGTATTTTTCACACATTTCAAATTTAGTCTCTTTATTTTTTTAAATACAATAAATAAGAGTTATTTTTTTCCTTTTTATTCTGTAATATAATATGTAAATACATGTTAAATATTTTTATTTAATTTTAATTCACCTTCATATATTAACTTTTGAGATGAAATTAATCAAAAACACTTTGAGATTATTCAAAAAAAAACCAAATTATTATTTTTTATTTCTTTGTTTTCCAATATTAATGCAACCTCAAACGCTTCGATTATTGATTATATTATTTTATAACGTTAGATTCAATATTTTTATTTGTTTATATAACCTTCCACATGTAATATTGACAACGTTGTTGCATTTTTTATTTTTTAAAATATCAAATAATCGATTTTAACAAAAAAAAATTGATAGTGTTATCAATCGAATTCGAATACCAAATAAGAATATACATGGACTCAATTGATTAAAAGTAAATAGATTAAATTTCAAATTTGTGAAGAGTGCAAGGACTATAAGCATCATTGGACCAAAGCCTATTTCAATCAATCTTTGCATTTAAAAAAAACAATTATAGATTGAAGACTCAATGCCTAAGAACTACAATTTGACCACTTTTCCCCCTTTGGAAATGCAGTGGAACTCTCACTATATGAAGTAGCAATAATAATTGCCTTAGTTTAGGGCTATGGTGCCCTACAATCTCCTAAAGTTATCTAATTCTTAGTGCCCTCCAATTTTGCTTGGAGAGAAATAGAATGCTTCAGATCTCCAATATGTAAACTATGTGCACCCATCGGAATCCATCGAATCCCGAATTCATCGATAATGCTAAGGTGCTCGCATGCATGAATGTCGATATGGACTTGTTGTACCGATCTGGCGGAGACATGAACTTTGCGAAAACCTATCAATTGCTTGTCCGGGGACCATTTTATGGTGGCAGGTGGTTCGGAGAAAATGAGTAAAGTGTGAGTTGCATCCATATTGCCGGTGTTTTCGACATCGATGTGGAGAGGTAATGAGAGTGAGTCGCATTTGGCATGTTCCACCCTGATGGCATTGCTTGATACTGTTGAGTAGTTTTTGGTGGCAAAGAGATTAGTGTTAATAAGCACTGGGAGCTCAGTTGGAGCAATGGCTAAAGATTGTTTGAAGTGTGTATAGCTCAGGCCATGACCGAACGGAAACACAACCGGTCCTTTGTAGAATCGGTAGGTTCTTCCGGGATAGCCTCTGGATGGTCGCATTCCCATGTTCGTCATCGGCACTTTAGCTATGTAAGATTGCGGATACCATGTCATTGGCAGCTTTCCCCCTGTGCAATACCATCGAATTAGCTTGGAAAAAGTTCGAAAAACTCGACATCGAACAAGTGAACCAAATTGAATAAATCTTGATCAAGTTACCTGGATTTGTTGTTCCAAATAAAACATCTGCAATTGCTGCTCCTCCAGCTTGACCAGGATAACCAGCCCATAAAATGGCGCTTATTCGACGGTCGTTCTTGGCAAACGAGACGTCGATCGGGCCACCTGACGTCAAAACCAAAACTGTAGGGCCCCTGGAGGCTCGAGCCACCCTGGAAACCAGCTCTTGTTGGTGTCCTGGCAAGAGCAGCCCTTCCCTGTCCCTAAATTCTGCTTCCATTGATTGGTCGAGCCCCATTACAAGCACCGTCCCATTGGCCTGGCGAGCAGCAGCCTCCGCAGCTCCGAAGAGATTGTTTGCTTTACAAGCAACATTTGAACAGCCTGCCTGATGAATAGTCCTAGCATATCTCGAAATGCCTTGCAAGGGACTCGTGTAACCGCATGCCACTCCTGCATCAAACATGTTCTTATACCCGATACTTGTACTCGAATCCGAGTAATATAGACTAAGAGCACGAGCAGTTTACCTGCATAGTTTCCTATCATTGTTTCAGTGACATCAGAATTGGGTCCAATAACCGCGATGGTCTGATGATGCGAAGTGGACAACGGCAAAGGCCCAGAGTTCTTTAGCAAAACTATGCCCTGTCGAGCAGCCTCGAGAGCAAGTTGTTTATGAGCCAGAGTGCACACATGTTTCGGACCCAAGTGTCCGTACGGTTGAGCCGATGGCTCGCCGTCAAACATGCCGAGCCTCATTTGGACTGTCATGGTGTTGGCTAGAGCCATGTCAACATCAGCCTCAGCTAACAAGCCCCTCCTTATTGCCTGGTCCGTATAGACTGCCAAGAATGGCCCGCAATCCAAATCCAAACCTGCAAACCGAATATCCAAGACCGTAAAAAATCGAATAACGAGTCGGGTTGGATATAATCCCGGTATTTTGAAGGTGGGTCTGACCTGCTTTGATAGTAGCTGCAGCATACTCTTCTGGTGTAGCAGTGAAATGCTGAGTGTCATACATTACACCAACTGAATCACAATCTGATACAATATACCTAATGGAAACAACACAAAAATAATGAAACAAAACATCAGATAAACAAACTTAAATGCCTCAAACAAAGATTTTTTTCGGTTAAGTTGATCGGAACGAACCCATTGAGGTGCCATTGGCCTCGAATCGTGCCCTTGAGTATGTCCGGATCGGCACAAGTGGGCTTGCCATTCACTTGATTGTAAGAACACATCACACTAGCAACTTTTCCTTCCACCACACAAGCTTTGAATGGCACATCATATGTATCCACCAGGTCTTGTTTACTAACCTGCATAAAGCGTCGCAAATATTGATATTCAAATTTCGATTCGAACTCAAATTCAAGTGTGGGATTTGAACTCAGATTACCCTGGCATTGAAATGGTATCGGTCCACGCCCTTCCAATTATCGAGATCATAAGCAGTGTAGTGTTTGCAACAGGCGGCGACTTTTAGGTGGTTCCCGACAGCACTCTGGAGGCCCCGGACATAGCTGGCGGCATATTTACCGGCAAGAACCGGGTCTTCGCCGGGAGTTTCTTGGCCTCGACCCCATCGCGGGTCACGAAATATGTTCACGTTGGGACTCCAATATGTCAAACCAGCCATTCCTCCATTGTACATTGCTCTTGCTTCATCGGAAGCCACCTGCAACCATCCCAATAGTACAATGTAATATTATTAACATGAAATTATCATTGTTAATTTAATTTTATTTAGTTACAGTCTAATTCTAAATATCAAAGTTTATATTCCACGAATTAATAAACCCTAAATCTATTTGAATCAATGTAAGCTTGGTTCGGAATTTTTTTTTCCGAACTCGTTTCTAGACTCAAATGATGAAGAGATCTATTAAAGTTATTTCGAACTCCGATTTAATAAAGATTTCAAGAGAATATAAATTCGAGTGAGCTTAAGTACATTTTTCTCAAGTAAATAATAAGAATGAGTATGTAAACGAATTAAATCTGAATTTTCAAAATATATTTATTAATTATAAAACTTCTATTTATTATTATTATTATTATTATTATTTTTTGTTGAAATTAGGGAAAGGTAAGATGCATACGCAAATTAATTCGTTTGCAAGTTGGTCTCCAAAAATACTACACCAACCCTTTGAAGTCACTTTCAATCCCCCCACCGTTATATTAGTTTCTACTTTGTACAATGCTAGTTACTAGCTAAGCTAATTTCACTATTTTTTGCAATTAATGATAATAGTAATTTATTTTCCACCCATTATTTTACTATTTTTTGATGTTATAAATGTTGGTTTTGAAAACTTTCTTTCTTTAGATTGTACTCCAATTTATAGAGAAAATAGATATGAATAAAGTTAGTAAAATAGGAAAATGAAAGCTTACCAATTCAGGAATAATTATTAAATTTTATATAATTATTGATATTTAATTTATTAATCGAATATTTTAAATAAAATTAACGTAATAAATATAAATTTATAATAAAGGTTTAAGTGTCACTTTCCCCCTGTAGTAGACACAATTTATCATTTTCGCTCTTATGGTATTTCACATCAATTTAACCCTAAGTTGCTCAATTGCATCAA